GAAGCTCGCCGAGGACTCCCCTTCCCGGTCACTTCAGCTGGAGGAAAAGCTGAAGAGGCTTGAAGCCCACAACCGGGAGCTTCAAGACCTGACCGCCCGGCAACTTGACGAGATGGCCAACCTCTCGGCGGTTGCCGGTAGGGCGAACGCGGAGGTCCTCCAGCTGAAGGAGGAGAACTCGCTGCTGATGGGGGAGGTCTCCCACCTGAAGGAGGAGGCATGTGTGAAGGAGCAAGAGCTGCCCGGTCGGGCCAGACAGTGGATGGAGGAGAACCTGGTGGAGGCCGCCCGGGTGCTTACCTCCTCTGAGGAAAGGACAATGGAGGGCTTCAAGTTGCTGTACCGGGAGGAGTAAGGGAAAAAGATGATTACCCAGATCGGCTCCTACGGTTTCATGTCCGGCCAAAAACGAGACCGGGAGGCCACCCATGCGATCCTTGCCGACCGGGATTCGGACTTCAATGCCGAATCATACGGTCTGGCCCCCATCCCGGACGAAGAGCCTGCGCCTCCCTTTCCTCTTGAGTAATCTTCCCGGCTGCGACCGGTTAAATTATTTTGGAAAACTTCAAACTCATTTCCCCGGGAATGCCCGGTGTATCTGTAAACCCTTGACTTTTTATTTCGTCTGAATGCATTGTTTAATTTCCATGCTGGTTTAGCTTCCATATTTGCATGCTTTTTGATTGATACTTTGATCTTCGCTTCTTAGAACACCATCATAGGATATCCGACTGGTATAGTAATCAATCACCATACTTCCTTTGACCGGTATTACTTCAAAGTTCTCTCTGGTCACTTTATTTCAAGGATCAGCCCGAGAGACTTTGACCGGTTAAAAAGTCTGACCGGCCGCACTTTACTCTTGTCTTTTGGATGGCTTCACAAATTCTTTTGGTAGAGTTTAGTTTGACCGGTGAATTCCCACTCCATGGTTTGACCGGGCAACTGCCTTGCCTTCTGACGGACGTAGAACTTTCGAAGTTCTGTTGTGCCCATACCCGACCGGGGTATCCTTTTTTTTTATCGGTAGGTTGTAGATGGAAACACCTGTAACCTAGTGATTCTTGAAGTATCCTTAACCGGTAAGAATACTGGAGATTTAACCATGTCGAATGGTTTCGAACCCTCTCCAAGGTTCAAATGCACCCTTCTTCCAGGCCCCCCTCTTCCGGGTGATTAAGTCTTTTAATGGCCCTTTGATTTCTACCATCCCGGGAAGGCCTTAGCTCACCCCCCCGTTCAAGTCTTCCCTGAGAAGGGGG